GGAAGGAGAGGGTCCAAACTGTGATACCCCCCCCTACCCTTCCCGTCAATAGCCAGAGGAATGCAGAATTCAGCCCAAACCTCTTATCCAAAGCAATGTCAGGCCACAAAGCCTGATTGATTTGTTAGCCGCCCTGAGTCCCCTTCGGGGGAAAGGGGCGGCATATAAATATAATAAATGAAATGAAATGGCACAATTTATCTCACGCAGAGGACCCTCTGACCATTCAGGGGGGGCTGCCAAAGCCATCCCCCCCCCAGGTCCAAAATCCTATCCATTCAGGGAACAGACTGCCTAGTGGCAGCTTTAGATTAGATTAGATTTATTACATTTATATGCCGCCCTTTCCCCCCCCCCCCCCCGAAGGGGACTCAGGGCGGCTCACAATTCAATCAGGCTTTGTGGCCTGACATTGCTTTGGATAAGAGGTTTGGGCTGAATTCTGCATTCCTCTGGCTATTGACGGGAAGGGTAGGGGGGGGTATCACAGTTTGGACCCTCTCCTTCCATTTGGCCGGGCCTACCCGGCCTGCCATCTTTTCCAAGGCGGCTGCCAACCGGTTCCAAGACCGGTTTTTCCTCTTGGGTGTGAGTGGAGAAGTCCTGCCTGCCGCGGCTACATTCCAAGGACTACGTTTCCCAGCATTCCTTCAGCTGGAAAAGCGACATTCACCGTCCGTGGTCGCCCTGGGCGGGTTTTTGGTTGTTTTTTAAAAGGCCACGTAAAAAAATAAATACATTCGGAAGCCGAGTTTCTCACCCTGGCTGCCTGGGAGTTGGAAGTCCACACGCCCCCTTTATAATACTGAGGAAACGCTGCTCTAAAGCTTTGGCCGGTTGGTGAGCCAAATAATCATAAAAGGGTTGGGAATCTATTTCGGTCTCCATTTCTATGAGGCGATCAAACGACTTTTCCCCTCAGAACCTGAGGGGAAAAAAGCGCCCGCCAATTCCCCTCACAGCGGGTATTTATACCGTGACGTCATCGGCCGTCGATTGGTCAAATCCGCTTAGCTCCGTTTTGGCGGGCTTTCTCCGTCTCCGGGCAGATTTTCCTCGCTCCCTCAAGGAAGCGTCGGGTAACCTCAGTCAGTCAGTTGTGGTGCCTCAGTCATAAGTGTGATTGTGTCTATCACGACCACACCTGTATGTTCACACCCATCCACCCCTGGTTGGCACGTACTGTTACACGCTCGTGTTCACTCTCCTAAGCTAGAAGGAAGCGAAAAGAATGATTTGTTGGTTTGATTCATCCGAGGTTTTTAGGCTAATATCCCTAGGGTAGCTCTCCTGCGTGAGCAACGGGTTGGACTAGATGACCTCCAAGGTCCCTTCCAGCTCTCTTACTGTTACCTGGATTAAAAAAAAGATGGCAGCCTCTCTAGGCTCTCAGCTGTTCTATATGTTAAAAATTTCTTTAATATTTTCTTTTTAAACTGTTTTTATGTAAGCCGCCTGGAGTCCTCGGGGATTGGGCGGCATACAAATCCATTCAAATTGAAATTGAGCTGTTGCTCAGTAAACACCGTGAAAGATCCTGCAATTTGGAAAGAGGAACCAACAAGGACCTCTTTTGAAAAGAGAGCTGACTCACTTTTACACCACCTCTGGAGGTGGACGATGCGGTCTTAACAGAACATGTTCTGCAAGAGCGGAAATGCGAGAAACGACGGCTTAAGAGAAATTTTCTTGGTCTGTAAGAGATTTCAATGCAAGACCAAAAATCCCCGAGACTCATCTGACGGGTTGCAAGCCACCAAGAAGTCAGTCATAGCAAAATCAACTGGAATGGCATGAACAAAGGGCAGGGACTTGAACAGACCAGATTCCTGTTCGATTAAACTCAATCCAGAACTTGATTTATCTGTTTCTTTGCTCAAGCTCCGATGCCGCTTCCCTTGTGACCTGTTTACATTTCCAGGTGCCATCAACCAACATAACAACACCTAACAATGCAGTCCTCCCACCATAACCTATCGTATCATTTCATAAATCCGTATAATCCATTGGAGGTAGATCTTGCTTAATGACTGATTTACATTGTGACAGTTCAAAGGAAGGTGTAACTTTACAAGGAGTCCTTGCACTTGCAAATTGCGCAATTGCCATTTGTGCGCATCACAGCTGGCTTCCAACAAGCAGAGTCAATGGAGAAGCTGGCTGCACAGTTGCAAACCGTGCCATGTAAGGTATCCCTTAGTGACCGTGTTGCTTAGCAAGAGTTGCCACTTCCACTGGTGGTTAAGTGAGGACTAACTGTATACGATTGCCACTGGTGCTCAACTTAATGGTTTTCCTAAACCCCATCAGGGTTGGCAGGATTCCCTAAAAAAGTGGGCTAAATGGAGGTTTGGAGTTGCAGATTATATGAACAGAGTCGTTTTAGTTAACCTAAGAGTTTAGCAGATTATATTCTCATGGACCTTAAAAACAAGAGACAACTCTTGTGTCTTTTGTTTCTCAGGCTTCAGGCGGCTTCTGTAGATTCTCCCCCGTCATTTGAATCCATATTTTAAAGCCCCAGACCATTACAACCGGCCTACAGAGCTGTTTGAACTGCTAAGCAGGTATCTTTTTGTCCTCAAGAGGTCTTGAATCATAGTGCGCCATTCGTCACTTTGATTTCTCTCCTGCAGCGCATGCCTTACAACCGGGCTGTTCCGTGGGGCTTGGACGCGGACTCCTGGGTGATGCTGGAAGGCCTCATTCTGAAGCAAAGCAAAGGGTAACTCAGCGCCGATCCCTTTCACTGGACCAACAACTACTTGGGTTGAGTTCACGCATCACATTGAATTCCTGTTTGGGGGAAATGAATGGTTGATTTACTACAGGGTTGACTCCCCCAAGCTTCCCGAAGTGAAAACAAGCTATGTAAATGGAGTTGCCTGGTCTTTCGACTGATCCAGTTATGGACACCCAACTCCCAGGCTTTAGGGAAGCAGGGAATTTTTGTGCCCCTTTTGTAAAGTTCCATGCTCAATCCATCCACCCTGCAACTTCCGATCAGTCTCCGGATACGCTTCAAGGTGCTAGTTGTAACTTATAAAGCCCTTCATGGTGTTGGATCTGGGTACTTGAGAGACCGCCTGCTGCCAATTACCTCCCACAGACCCATTAGATCACACAGGGTTGGCCTCCTCCGGGTTCCATCTACTAGCCAATTATCACCTGGCTACCACCCGGGGGAGGGCCTTCTCTGTGGCAGCTCCGGCCCTCTGGAACGAACTCCCCACAGGGATTCGGACCCTCACCTCCCTCCAGGCCTTCCGAAAGCCCGTCAAAACCTGGCTT